TGGGGGTGCTGCCGGGTTGGTCCAGTAGCGCCCAGAGCGGCGCTGCGGGACCAACCGGCAGTGCCCCAGCTGCTCTACTACAGGCATCTGGAGAAAAGCCTGGTCTGCTGGGGGGGGGCAGCCGGGGACTGCCTGTAAAAGGTTAATCAGTTAATCTGCAGGGGCTGGAGCAGCGCTCTGTCCGCCCCTAACAAGGGGCTATTCCAGCCCCATGGGGCACATTGGAGCAGCCCCCCTCCCTCCTGCCACAGGTTACATGCTCGCTCCCCAGGAGTGGGGTTGGCAGGGGCTGACAGCCCTGCTCCCAGAAAGCTGGCTGCAGAGCCTTCAGCAAAGCCTCCCTGGGAGTGGGGCCAACAGTAGATATATACTGCAGAGCTTGCAGCACATGTAACCATGTAACCTCTAAAAATCATGGCAGTGACATTTTTAACAGCATTTTTACATTCCTAGTTTAAACATATAGCAATAAGCACCATAGATGTCCTTTATCAGTTTAATAAGGAATAGCTATATGGACATTAATATGCCTAGCACAAGAATACTTAATTATCCCCATCAATACATACTAGACCTAGTATTTACAAGTTATATTCTATTACTAAAGAATAAAAAAAATTGTTAACTTTACTGCAAGGGTCACAGCAACACATTAATAGCTGGCAGGATATGCTTAACAAGGAAATAACATGCCCTGGTAAGATTATCCACTATTTATATTTTGTTTTATTAAATTGTCTTCTGATTTCCACACACATACTGGTTTGGTTGAGCATTTGCACATTTTGGAATATGGCATAATATATAAAGGCCCTGTTTTATCTAGGGATGTTTAAGTGCAAATGACTGACAGTTTAACCACTTATCAGTTAGTTACACTCAATGAAATCTCCTCCCCAGGAAAGCTTCACTGCAGGCTCTGTAGTATAAAGCTTAGCTAGGCGTGGATAACTGTGAAATCACTGAGATTTTCAGCGGTTACACGGTTACCCTATTACACTATATTTAACATAGTTAATTTCAATCACTTCATATACCAGTTTTCTTAAAAAATTCCACTTGCAACAACCAGTTGCAGTGGGGAAGTGTCACATGTCAGGAACTGAAAATAGATTACTTGATATAGCTGTTGTGTAACATATTAAACTTACTAGTGACATTTTAAACAAATGAGGATGTTCAAAAAGATGCATTCTTTAAATGTTCATGAAGACACAAAACATTAATTGGAAGAAAATTATGTTTAAGCTTGAATCAATTCTTGCAACATATAGCAGGCTAATAGTAGTGCTAGTGAGGGGGAAATCTCGCTCCCCTGGGGTACAGAGCCCCCAGAAGGGTCCGAGGCCGGAGGTCAAATCAGTGAGGCAGGAGAGAAACCTAGAAGGAAAAACTTTATGATGCATGCATGCAGGCTGTCACTTCCAAGAGTGAAAGCAGCAGCAATGAGAGACAGATTCAGGTTAAACGAGTTTTATTGAGTGAATGTTTCAAATAGATTACAGTAAACAAGAGTGAGGTAGAATACATCTGGGGAACTGGAGCGGGTTGCACTGCAGGGTGGATAGTAACATTGGAGTTATCGTGGAGAGACAAGAGAACCTCTCCAGTCCCAGATACATATAGTAGGGTTAACAATTACAGATTGTGCAGACAATACGGGCCTCTTAGAAGACTAAGTGTTCTTCCATGAGGGCTGAGGGGGTTTCTAGATGTGTCTCCACAATTGTGTAGAGGGAGAACGTGCGTGTAAGTGTGCTGCAGGAGAGAGCCAACAAAAAATAACTAATCTAGTAAGCAACCCTGTAGGGAGAGACCACCAGACAGCATTGAGCAAAAGAGCTGTCGGGGGCCCTATTTGTACTAACACCTGGACTATGGAGGGATGCAGGAGAAGGCCAGGGAAGCAACAATAGCGCTCGTTGGGGCCCTGCTTAGTACAGGAGACTGTACCTATGGGCGGCAGAAAGGGGTCTCGGGCAGGGCCAGAGGGCAAGGAGGCTAATAGCAGTTTAAGGACTAACCATAGAGGCAGGCCTTGGGCAGGTCCAGGGCCTAGGGAGCAGGGTGAGAGCAGGTTAGGGTGAAGCGTGGGGGATACGAGCAGGGGCAGGACCGGGAGCAGGCCTGGCAGGGTGTACTGGAGGTGTTAGGGGGGCCGGGTGGTTAGATGTCATACTGGCGGTGACCGGTGATGTGCTCCGTATACATTCCCTGGACCACCTGATGGCGTCGGATACGTACTACACTTGATCTTAGCCAAAAGGCCGAGTACAGAATGCTTAGACAGTTCAGTTGTTGATTGTTCTTCTTTAACATATCAAAGTCTCAGCAGAAGTACTTTGAGACTTCTGTTCACCCCAGGAGTGCTAGAAGTAAGTTTTTACAGTACACAAAGCCACATGAGAACTTGAGTGGAGGAGTCTACAAGGCAAACTGTGACAAAGATAAGGGTTTACATGACAAATTGTGACAGACTAGGAGTATCCATGAACTTGAGATAGGAGGCATTGTAAGGGTCTTGATTAGAGTTAATTTGATTTCTCTCTGTTACAGGGAGAGAGGTCTGGAAAACTTTTTAACCCTTACAGCAGTTTTCTTTTAGAGAGTTTTGATTTCCTGCACAGTCCCCCCTTTAGACACAATTGGAGTTATTTGATTTTTCTCTCACACTAGTCAAAAGTTATGCAACCAATAATGCCTTTTTATTTTTAGTGTCTTCTATTTTCGTTAAAACAAAAAAAAACTAATGAAAAATTGATGAAAATTAAAATGTTAACCTTGAACTTTATTTCCCACAAAAAATGTCTATTGCCCATAGTTCTATTCACAATGATTACAACCAGAGGTGGGCAACCTGCAGCCCACTGGGGTACTACATGTGGCCTATGAGACATTTTTCCACTGTCCATGAACAGCATTGTCAGTCTTTTGATTTTCATCCATGTAGGTTTTCTTCCCCTGTTGAGATTACTACAGTGATATGTACTTAAAGTAAGGACACATGAAGTGAAGCATGTGCTAATTGCACACAACATTAAGAGAGCCATGCATCCAATCAAAGTACTGCTATGGTTCATTTGGCACAACCTGCAAAGTCTACGTAAGCAAGCACAGTTAGCAAAACTCCCGTTCCCAGGAGACCATATTGGTTTCGACAATCTTGCAGCCCACTGAGATGAAGGAGGGCCACTTATATGGCCCACTCCCGAGCCTACGTTTCCCCTCATTGATTATAACATGGGAAACAGCAGTTCAAGTTCAACCACATCATCCCACCAATGTGACTCCACTTTCATCCTAGGCTTTGTCTACCACAGTAACATAACTGCGCCACTGTAAGGTCTCTATTTATCCCCTCTTTTCCATCAGAACA